AGCCATCTCCTATTCTACTCTTCCATGTGTGAAAGTATCGAATTTTTAAAAGGAGATCATTGGGGAAAAGAAATAGAACGTGGACAACCGTATAAAACCGGTTATGCGAAGTTAAAAGATTGACTACATAAGCAATACAGACACATTGACACTCATTTGGATTTTCAGGATTTTATTGAAAACAATATTGTGGTAATCTGAAGCTGCAATTGCAAAACTAAGGAGTATTGAAAACGAATATTCTGACCAAAATCAAACGTATTTAAATTTGTCCAGCCTTGTCAGGTACAAAGATTTAAGTAACAAACACAAACATATCCAATTGAAAAAAAGGCCCTTAAAAACACCCTAGTAAAGCATGCATTACGAATACGGAAAAAAAAAACCCGAGCTTAATGGCCCTAGATTAGAGTCCAATGTCTTGCGATTTCGCTGACGCAACATTAACCGCAAGTCGTATTTCCTTCACGAGATGACTTCAGACCGTTGAAATAGCTAACTTGAAACCAACTCAGTTTCGAAATCGACTGATGTTTATTTTAGCTTCTTCACGATGTTTGCTCCAATAGTTGTTTGGTTGTTTTGTATTGACCAACTCACCGCCTTGAAGGAATTTAAGAGAGCTTTTCAAGCTGGTGATGTCATGCTTGGAGGACTCACAGTGTTACATCACAAGGATTCTAACGACAAATGCGGCGTAGACATCTTTCCCGTTGGTTTCGGTCACGCTGAAGCAATGATCTTCACGATCGAACAAATCAACAATGACCCTTCATTGCTTGCGAATGTTACACTCGGCTTCGACATCCGTGACTACTGTGAAACTGTGTCTATTGCTGTTAAAGAAACATACGAGTTTGTGCGAGATGCAGATTTGTATCATATGTATACGAACAGAAATTTCAGCATGGATAACGAAACAACTTCTTGCTACAGCAAAGATGATGTTGCTCCTGTTTCTACAATAATTGGACCGGACGACTCAGCCAGCTCTGTTCAGATTTCGAATCTTCTCAGCATAGCCAAAATCCCGATAATAAGCTTTGCTGCGACGAGTGACGAGCTTAGTTCCGATCAATATCCATACTTCTTAAGAACAGTTCCACCTGACAGGCAACAAGCGAAAGTACAGGCAGATCTGTTTGAATATTTCAAATGGACATATATTGGTACGGTAGCTCTGGATGATTCTTACGGGCGGTTTGGCGTCTCTGCGTTACAGAAAGAGGCGTATAATCGAGGAACCTTTTGCTTGGCCTTTTCAGAGTTTATTCCCCGTCTTCGTGCTGCCACTGATATTAAACAGATTGTGTCACGCATTAAACAGCAGAGCAATGTCAAAGTCATTGTGGTGTGGGTCTTTGGAGGATATGCGAGGCTGTTATTTAAGGAAGTTCACAGGCAAAAGCTTGGGAAACGGACCTGGATTCTCGGTGATGGAACGAGTACAGAGGATAGCGGACTGCTGGGACCGTATTTTCGTCTACTGGACGGCGCCCTTGGCGTTCAGCCACGTGATCGCAAAGATAAAACTTTCCTGAACTACTTGTACTCTATAACGCCGAATAAAACTCGTTTAGGAAGGAATCCGTGGTGGGAAGAATTCTGGAAAAAATTTCGGAATTGCACCCCTGACGCAGACAGCGCAGCCGACCCACAGTGCGCTAATGTACCTTTGTCACCAAATGAAGTTTCCATACTGTTCGACCCTTACCTTGGCTACCTTATAGACGCCGTCTTTGCTGTGGCATTCGCACTAGAAAAGCAATTTAGTTGTCGCACTTTAAACCGCGAACTTTCGGGGGAAGCATGCTCTGATGGAAAGCCATTGACAACTGACGGAAAGGATCTGTTGTCCCACTTGAAAAGTGTCAGTTTTAAAGGACTCACTGGCGTCGTAGAATTTGACCGCGAAGGTGATCCCAAGAATTCTTTCTTTGAAATTGTGAACGTCCAAATAAATAGCAATGGAGATTCAAAGAAGGCCTTGGTAGGATCCTGGAATAGTAATAAGAAGCCAAGGTTGGCGCTGAACGACTCCGCGATCAAATGGGCAAACGCTACTTTTACTACAAAGGTACCGTCCTCATTCTGCAGTCAAGTGTGTCCCCCCGGAACTAGGCAAGAGGTAACCACTTCATGTTGTTGGAAGTGCGTTACATGTCCGGGGGGCACAGTCAGCAAGTCGCCTGGATCTACCGACTGCACGGAGTGCCCGCGTAAACAAAAGCCGAACGATGATAGAACCAAATGCGAAGATCTGCCAGTGAAAAACCTTCACTTCAGAGATGCAGCTGGTGTAATCCTTTCTTGCGCGACAGCATTAGGATTTTGCATGACCGTGGCTATGTTACTTGTGTTTGTAAAATACCGCGAGACACCAATTGTGAAAGCCTCGAATAAACAGCTCAGTTTTCTCCTTCTTGCTACAATCTTCTCCAGTTTTACTCTGGCGCTGTTGAGCATTACAAAGCCAACTGATTCTATATGTCGCTTGATTCAGTTTTCTCGGTATGCAATCTACACCACTTTTGCATCCATATTGTGGCTGAAGTCAGTTCGCATTTTCGTCCTTTTCCAAGTCGACAG